TGTGTGTGTGTGTGTGTGTGTGTGTGTGTGTGTGTGTGTGTGTGTGTTTGCACATTCACTGTGTTATATACCTTCACAGGATAAATTCAGGACTTTTCTAAGGGTTTATGACCACACCTGGGACTCCTAAGTACTCAACTTTAAGGATAAACAAAAAATGACATTAGGGAGGAAAAGCCAGGTGAAAAAAACTCAGGCAGCTTGACTCCGAGGCAGGAGAGCAAGACAATGCTGTTTTTTTCTGATAGCAGTTAAAAGAACATGAAAGAAAATTTACTGGTTGTATGATCTGGTCAGACTTGACTCAATTATTTTATTTGTTTTTTTGTTTGTTTGTTAGTTTTTATTTGAAAGGCAACTTTGCTTTCTCTTTTGAGAATCAGTTGAAATGTAAGAAAGGCTTTCCAGTTGCTATTCTATGGTAAATATTAAGACTCAAATTGGTCTCTTCTGAAAACAACAGCAACATTTTTGGAATCCTGTATGAGTTTTCTTGCTTTTCTATCTTTGTATACATTATTTTTTTTCCACCAACTTCTCTCTATATTTCTAATGGCAACCCCTTAGCAGATAAACATCATAATAGAGGACAGAACTTGGGAAGACTAGGAGCACAGTGGGCTGGGCAGAGCCAATGCGCTGTTTTTCTGTCATCCATGTCTTTAGGCTCTTCATTAAAAACATTTTCTTGCTCTATGGTCCCACACAAAAGACTGATGGAGCAAAGATCAATGATTCTGGTTGTGTCGAGTAGAGGTGGCCATCTTGGTTGACAGCTGAGGAGTCGGCCCTGAACACATTTCTACCACTGCCATATGTCTTAGGGAACACTGTGACAAAGAGGTGGGAAGACTGAGACTTGAACCTAGACCTTTGTGAATGTTCATCATCACTGTACAAACTGGTTTGCTCCACTTCTTGTTTTTATCATCGTGTTGTATGAAGAAGTACTTCACCCATTTAATTTTAAAGGATGTTTGTATTTACTTTCTCTAATATAAATAACTAATAATTTTCCAATTTGCCAGTTGTCTTTTTACTTACAAGATTTTTTTTTTCATATAAAGAAAGAGAAAGGGGAATGTACAATATAATTTATTTATACCTGTACTTTAGGCATATAATTAAGAAGGATTTTCCTGGGGCTGGAGAGATAGCTCAGTGGTCACCGACTGCTCTTCCAGAAGACCCAAGCTCAAGTCCCAGCATTAACATGGCAGCTCACAACGGTATGTAACTTCAGGACCTGACACGCTCACATATACATACATGCAGGCAAAACACCCATGAAAATTAAGATAAATAAATTTAAAAATAAAGACAAAAATACATACTTTTAAAAAAGAAAAGAAAATCGCTAAAGTTAAAAAAAAATTCTTACAATCTAGACACAAAAACTTACCTTTATATATACATCTCTTAAGATATAAATGATTCTGTAGCAAGCATTTAAATCCCTAATTCATTTGAGATGTTTTGAAATATAAATTCCTAAAACATGAGCAAATACAAGTTGGCTCTAGGCATCGCTTTCTGCAGATAGAGCGTTATTGATGCTACCCTATTGCCTGGGGAGGCATGGCAGCTTCATCTGCTGTTTCATTTCATGAGTTTTTAGTGAAAGCAATGTACATTTCATAAATTTTCCATTGCCTCAAATTCTCCAACTCACAAGCTTCTGTGAACATTAAGAAGCTAGTGCATCATTTTTGACAAACCATCAACAAATCAATCTTATACAAGAGCCAGAGTGAACCAGTACTTGGAAAAAAAATTGCTCTTATTCTGCTTGAACATTTTTTTTCCTAATATTAAAAAAACCAACAACAACAATCATTCAATTGCATAACATTGCTACTGCTCAAAGAGGCTGTGACAACAGAGAGAGACATTCATGCAAAGACACAAATGCTGTGTTTTCAAATAGCCTTGTTTTCACCCCACTGTCACCGGCTACTTTACAACAGTCTATTCATTTTCTTCTTTTATGTTTAGAAAATTTAACAGCCCCAAATGAACACACAAAATGCAATCTGTTATAAAGACTCACCACTACTAGAAGTGTCATTCAGGTTTAGCAGTCCTCCTCCTAGCCCTCGGTAACTATGGTAACTGTAGGTCCCATTGCCATTGATGTACAGTACCTCCTGGGAGCCTGGAACAGTAGATGTTGAGTAGGTGGCCTGGGCTGCCTCGGGCTTGCACTGTTTGTCAGTGGGCGTGGCCTCGTCCTGCAATGAGACAGCGTTCCATCATTGTGACGCCTCCGTGCTACTCCACCTTGCACACTCTCAATGTCAGCCACATGGTTGCACTGGGTAAGGAAGTTCCATACGGTGAACACTCAGCTCATGTCTATTTTCTCCAGCTTTTCTAAAAGCTAAGAGACAGAGAACACGGCAACAATGTGGGCAGGTTAGGAGCTGTCTCTTACTCTGTTGTCTGCCTTTGGATCCCTTTCCCCTAACTCGACTGCCTTGTCTATTCTCAATAGAAGAAGCTCCCAGTGGTACTTCATTTGCCCAGGTGGGTTGATATCCATGAGACATCTCTCCTTCTCCGAGAAGAAAGGGAGAAGGGCATAGAAGGTGAGAGGGAGGGACTGGGAGAAGAAAAGGGAGGGGAGGAAGGTTGGACTGAGAAGTAAATTCAATAAATTAATTAATGAAAAAAAACTATAATAAAAAATGGCCATTTCCAACTAAATTAAAATAAGAGGGAATGTGCTTCATAAGCACCAAGAGGTAGAAGTCACCTAAAGGCCCATTGAAGAAAGAAACCCTCACGTGTACAATAAAACTGGAGAAGCCTAAGGACAATGATAAGTGAACAAGTGTGCCATAATAAAGCAGATGGCATGGTTTCATTCATAGGAGAGGGCTGAGAAATCCTCTGAGGCACAGGATGGCAAGGGACAGTGTGGTCTCTAGGACTGTGTGGAGTGGGGCTGGGAGAGCTGGGTTTCATTGTACAGAGTGGGAGCATGGGCCTATCTCATGCAAAACTGGGGAAGTGACTGACTGGGACTGTAGGTGGCTTTTAAGCAACAAGCTTGATTACAGTGGAAGATAAGAGTATTTAGAGAAGTTTGAGCTTTTTATTTTGCTTGTTCACAGTTCCCCTATTTCCATCCTTCCATTTTTTTTTCTTTTTTACTGTTTCTTTCTTCTTCCCCCTTTCTCCTTTTATTTTATAGTTTGAAAACATCAGCCATTTTTATTGAGTACTAACTCTATGTTAGGCCTGTTGTCTGCATTACAGGAGCATGACAAAAACTTTGGCAAACACCCAGGGCCTTTGTCTTTACATTTGTTTACACATTCACCGTCCTCCATGAAACAACCTTTACCCCACTGAAAAATGTTGAAAATGCTGTAAGAGAATAAAGAATTAAGTTTGTAATAAATGCTATGTTTTCAATAAAAATAGATCGAATTTCTCTTTAGTGTTTTAAAATATATGTGATGTAAATAATCTAAATTTCACTTGCTTTTTACCTTACTTATATTTCTTCCAACTTTATCCTTTCCTTCACTCTTCCATATTGGAGATGACCTTCCATAACCAAGATGAGGTCTTTACCTTCAAGCCATATCCCTATCATTCTCTCCTTCTCAACAAGAAATACAGCCAGAAATAATTTTTAACAAATTGTTCGAGTGAGTTTTTCATTACCAGGAGTGTTTTGCAAGGCTTTAAATTAGAATAAAGTAGACCTTGTAACTGTCAGATCTTTCCCCAGGTACTAGAGAAGGAGAAACATGGAATTTTTCACTATGTTTTTATATTTTTCTTTAATTTTTGTATTGTTCCATAGTCCAGGCACATTTTATATTTGTAGTCTCATCTTGCACATGATGAAAACCTGGCATGATTCTACTCTTGTTAGTGTGATGTGCTCAGCTCACATGTGTCTGTGATGTGCTCAGCTATGGATAAAGGGGCACAGGACCTGTAGCTTTCACCTTTCTTTCCAGTAAGGTTATAAAAGAAAACCTGAAACTTGATGACCTCCTGATCTAAATGGCCCCATAATACCAATGGCTTACTTTCTAAGTAACGTTAAGAAGAGAGAGGAAATGAGAAATAAAATGTCCTAGAACATGAAATCTGCATTTCGATGTAACTTATTTACTAAGTATGCCTATTTTTTTTAAGTAACACAAATGATGCTTCTGAAATTTGTCTAATGCAAACATGAGCTGATCTAAATTGGTGTACAATTGGACTGTTGGGTTGCAACTTCAAAGCTTGCCACTTGAACCACAGAACTCCCAGGAAGGCATTTTGCCTTTGAATAGTATTCTCCTGGGAACAAGTTCCATCAAGCAAAGACCGAGAAAGAATCAGGATGTGCTGCTGCTGCCAGCGCAGCTCTCGTGACTATCCGATTGGTAGTTCCGGTTTATTAAGTTTCATTATTTTGCCAACAGAAAAGCACCCAGAGAAGGTGGGTTTCAGATTCTGGTTCTCTGCGGAAGAGAATATGGAGTTATAAGACCTACCTCTGCTGAGACTCTTAAATATATTTCTATGTGATACACAGGCAAATATTATATTAATTTTGTATTGTGCTTAAGATGAATTTGTGTATTCCCCATAGTAAGTGAGCTTAAATAATCTGAGACGCCGAAGATGCTATTTCTGGAAATCTGTTGTGTTCAGACATGTAGGTTATAACAAGAAGGACACAGGTAATTAGGCTAAAGACAGTCATGTTCTGTACAGGAGTCATTAAAAAATTGATGCCAGCAGAAGACAAACAGCTACCACGGGGCAATAACCAAGTCATATCATGGCGTATTTCAGACTTGATTCATCAGTCTCTCCAGGGAAAGAGTCTCCTGGGAAGATGTGCTAACATGTCTGTATGGGCATATAGGCTCTACCTATATTCTATTTGGCATTGAAAAAAAAAAAGCCTTGAAATCTGAAGCTGAGTGGGCAAATAATGGTAACATTTTATTTTGTGGGTGGGGACTTGGATCATTTTAGAGTTAGGATTTTTAAAAATCCCTTCAGATTTTGAATATTCAACTAATAATTCTATGCAAGTATTAACAAAAATACTGAATACTATAAAGTCAGATAAACTCTGGCCTCAAGCAGTTCAGACTAGGGATAATTCCTCCAATACTAACATAGTTGTGGTGTGTATTCCCTTAGCCCATTCTTAATACAGCCCACCAAAGGATGAATAGATGGATCTATGATGATTACATGCTGTGATGGTTAGTACTTGAATTCCCCCAAAGGCCTATGAGTTATAAACTTGGTCCCCATGGTGAGGTTATTGAGAACAAGTGCATCAGGAATGCCTAACTAATGAAAGGTTCTAAAGTCTCACCGGGGACAGCCACCCTTGGTACTCTTTCAAGTCATGGTTCAGTGTTTACATGGTTTTCTTCTGGCCTGTTCTCTCAGCCCCTGCAACCCAGACAATCCCATCTCGGACCCAAAGCAACATAAGCACTCGATCTGATGCTGCCATCTCCCTAAGTGTGAGGTAAATAAACTTATGGTTACTTCAGTGGTTTTGGTAGAGTAATGCAGAGCTGGTAAAACACTCTGCTTCACTTTTCACGTATATACCCATTTCCTATAAAGGTATTATATTTTTTAACTGGTCTCTATGGACTCTGTATGGTTTTTAGGGAAACCATCTGAGAGCCTCCCTTAGGTTATGAGTTATGGGATACTGACATGTGCCACATAGGGTCTGTCTTTTCTCTACAGCCAGATTAGCAGCCCTGCTTTATTTCACTCTGAGCTCACCAGATGACTGCATCAAAGAGTATGGAAATGACTCGGCTTCAAAACATTCTTCCTGTAAAGATGCACCTATTGAAATATCAAAGGAATGTTCTCTTTTCTGGGGGAACTTGTGACAGGCTAGCCACAGGTCTACCACTCAAACTGTGTAAATAATCCAGCCTTCTAGTTTCTGGGACTCAAACTGTGTAAATAATCCAGCCTTCTAGTTTCCGGGAAGAGACAGCTCTTCTGAGATACTCATGCCCTGTTTGAAAGTGACAGGCGCTTTCACAGAAGAGCACCCTCTTATGTAAAAGGGGACATAATTACTGCAGTGCTTTCCCATGTATTCTTTGCATGGTGGAATTAATTAATATTATTAAGTGTGCTATTGTAAAATTTGAGTCCTTCTTTATTAACCATGTTTCCAAACTGCTGTAGCTGTGCTTAAAAGGAAGATAATTAATTCCATTAATAATCAAAGCCAACACTGTAGGGATTATTTGTATTCAAACACAGATTTGCATTATTATTGTTTTGGGAGTCCACTATACATAGAGAAAAAAAACATACAAAACTGCCAATAAAATATGTTCTGCAGTGTCTTTTGGACAAAAGTTTAATTAAAACAAAAGTTTAATGAGTGTTAATTCATGTGTTTTGTCTTGAGTGGTAATCATTTTCAAAGAGCAATGATTTTAATGGCATTAAGAGATACACATGCCCTGAAGTCACATTTTAGGTTGGTCATCAACTTCCAGTAATTAATATTCTAATAATGAGTGCTCAGCACTTTCATAACTACCAGTTCACCCCAGGAGTGCCTATGAAGGTTCTTTTCAAAAGAGGGCCATACCAATTTGCTGCAGAGCTTCATAGCTACACAATGAAGTACATTTAGTTAATTAACAAGAAAATGACTCTTTTTTTTAAATAGAAATATTTCCAGATTTATATTGAATTAAAATAATGATCAAAAATTGAATGACCACAAGCAATGGACTAGATAGCACACATACACAAACATACACACACAGAATCACACACCCACACCCCAGTACATACCATTACATAGATATACACACACCATCACACACATATACATACCTCCCCCACATGCACACCATCACACACACATACACACACACACAATTTCTTTGAGTATTCAACAGATTAAAGAAAGATTTTTGTTTGCTCTTATAATTAGACTCTGGCCCATCTATTTATACCTCCTACCTATCTTCCAGATGAGTATACATTTGAATTTCATGTGTAAAACATGCTTGTAAGAGGGTGTGCATTTGCTTTTACCTGGAGGGAAAGATTGGGGTGGATTAGGGGAGGGGACTTTACTTCCAGCTGTCTGACACATGTCCTTTGAATTCCTCTCTTTTTCACCTCCAGAAACTGGCCAGAGTCACACTGAGGTCTGCTGCTGTTGGTTCCCTGATGGACTACACAGGTAGGGGCCTTCCCC